TATATATATATATATATATATATATGTATATATATATATATATATATATATATATATATATATATATATATATATATATATATATATATATATATATATATATATATATATATATATATATATATATATATATATATATATATATATATATATATATATATATATATATATATAAGCCTAAACATGCAGCGGGGTTGGGTAACAGAATGCCCTTGAATGTTGAAATCCGTCTACTTTTGCTGCTCCCCCCAAAAAAAAAACCCAGGCCCCCATGTCCTTAACATACTCGGGGGTTAGGTAACAGAGATACCCGTGAATGTTAAAAATCCTGTATAAAAACCCAGGCCCCCATGTCCTTATTTACCGTATACTGTATAACTGTGTGTAGTTCGAGTTTTTAAGACCAAATTATTTGGCAAAAAATTGGGGGTCGACCTCTAAACGGGTAATAGTTTCGTTAGGTTGAAAAATATTTACCAGTAACTACCAGTAAACAATGGAAACGACGCACCACCAGCTGTGAGTGTCGGTACAGTCGCCAGGGCAGATCTCTTGCGTCATCATAGCTATCCCAAAGTAGCCAAATGTATGGTATGGTATGCACAGGACGATGTAAAACATAAAGTATTCATTTTTTAAAGTTTATTTTTGGATACAGTACATAAATTTTTGTTCATTACATTTGAAACATCAATCTTTGTTAATTAAATTTGAAACAAAAGAAAACTACGATATCGTATTTCTAAATACCGTGTATTTTCATTAAATATTACATCACAAGTATTTTTTACCTTAACTGTGACTGAATGCATATATTCTCAGAAATAAATATGGAAGTGTAATATTTTTGCTGAAATGACGTATGTATTACAGAGGAAAGTGGGATAAAATCATGACGAAAACAATGATTTTCGCTTTCTTTCGTTGTTCAAAAGATTTTACCGTGATCGCTTTTCGAATGGTTTTCAGTTAAAAAACTGTTGTATTACAATAATATTCTATCCTAATTCACTTGAATAAATACTACGATACCACATTTCTGAATATTTTCATGAAAATCCATCAAAATCATTTTCCTTGTCATCGTCTTAAGCACCAAACAGCTCCTCCCAGTCTTCTCCTTGAACAGGGCTCGAGGGTACATGTTTTTCGAATCGTTTTCAATTAAAAAAATGTTACAGCACATGTATATTTTATCTAAACTGTGCCTGAATGAATATATTCTTAGAAATAAATAGTAGTTTTGCTGAAACGTGATGTATTTCAATGTAAAATAGGATTTAATACATGACGAAAACAAAAGACTTTACCTAACCTTCCAATGTTCAAGAGATGTTACTCGTTTTTTTAATAGTTTTCTGTTAAAATACTGTTATATTACAATGATATTATATTCATACTGTGCTTGATATACTACATTCACGGAAATGTAATATTTTTGCTGAAATGACGTACGTATTACAGTGGAAAGTGGGATAAAATCGTGACGAAAACATTGAGTTTCGCTTTCTTTCGTTCAAAAGATGATACCATAATCGCTTTTCGAATGGTTTTCAGTTAAAAAAACTGTTGCATCACAAGTGAATTAGGATAGAATATTATTGTAATACAACAGTTTTTTAACTGAAAACCATTCGAAAAGCGATTACGGTAACATCTTTAGGATAATATAATTGACATTTCTGGATTCCTTGCAGGTCAGGGAATATTTTGAATGTAAACTTCATATATTTTGCACAAAAGATACAATATTTGCTTTGTGTAAACCAAATTATTACTTTAGATCTAAAATTTGTATGTCTAATGCAAAATCCATGATGTTTATATTCAAAATGATCATCATATTGTAAGAATTCCAGCAATGTAAATTATATTCTGGTCGAGTAATTTGTATGAATTTTATGAGCTAAAACAAATATCTTCAGTTAATAAAAAAAAAAAATATTCTTCACGACACTATCTGTCAATCAAAGTACCCCACCTTGCCTCCCCCCCTCCTCACACTCACGCCAGCTGGGTCGGTCGGTCCCAACCCTCCCCCCACCTTCCCTCCCTACCAGATAAATGTGTGGGTGAAAACTCTAGATTTTAACGTTTAGTAATAAATAATACCTCAGACTAAAGTTAGGATAATATAATTGACATTTCTGGATTCCTTGCAGGTCAGGGAATATTTTGAATGTAAACTTCATATATTTTGCACAAAAGATAAAATATTTGCTTTGTGTAAACCAAATTATTACTTTAGATCTAAAATTTGTATGTCTAATGCAAAATCCATGATGTTCATATTTAAAATGATCATCATATTGTAAGAATTCCAGCAATGTAAATTATATTCTGGCCGGGTAATTTGTATGAATTTTATGAGCTAAAACATATATCTTCAGTAAATAAACAAAGAAATATTCTTCAAGGACACTATCTGTCAATCAAAATACTCCGCCCTAGCTGGGTCGGTCCCTCCCTCCCTCCCTCCCTACCAGAGAAGCGATTGGGAGAAAATAGTATATTTACATTTTTAGTAATAAATTATAACTCAGACTAAAGTTAGGATAATATAATTGACATTTGTGGATTCCTTGCAGGTCAGGGAATATTTTGAATGTAAACTTCATATATTTTGCACAAAGGATAAAATATTTGCTTTGTGTAAACCAAATTATTACATTAGATCTAAAATTTGTATGTCTAATGCAAAATCCATGATGTTTATATTCAAAATGATCATCATATTGTAAGAATTCCAGCAATGTAAATTATATTCTGGCCGGTAATTTCTATGAATTTTATGAGCTAAATAAAAAAACAAACAATTACAGTTGTACCCCACTTAACGCGGTCAATAGAACCCAGAGGGTCCCGTGTTAAGTGAAATCCGCGTTAAGTGAACAACAGAACATATGGGATTAATTCCAATAGAAACCAGCCCGACCCCCAAACTCCACTTTTTGAAGGCACATACCTATGTTGTAGTAAAAATAACATCTTAATTTTATGATGGTACATGCACACAATTAATACTTAAGAGAAATTGAGAAATACAGTCGCCAAGTTATGTCCATTCAAATAATGGACTCAACTCCCTCCCCCTCTCACACTACACTGCCGGCTCTTCCCTCTCTGAGAAATTTTTGGGGGAAAACCACTAAATTTTAATAAATAATACCTCAAACTAAAGTTAGGATAATACAATTGACATTGCTGGAATCCTTGTAAGACCAGGAATATTTTTAATATAAATGTCATATATTTTGCACAAAAGATAACATAGTTACCTAGAGAAAATTTTTTATCTAAAATTTGTATGTTTAATGCAAAATATATGATGTTTATATTCAAAATGATCACCAAATTATAAGAATTCCAGCAATGTAAATTATATTCTGACCGGGTAATTTGTATGAATTTTATGAGCTAAAACAAATATCTTCAGTTAATAAAAAAAAAAATAATCTTCAGGACACTATCTGTCAATCAAAGTACCCCACCTTGCCTCCCCCCCTCTTCCAACCGCGCGGTCAGTCCCAACCCTCCCCCCCACCCCCCACCAATCCTCCCTTCAAGAGTTTTTAACATTTAGTATTAAATAATACCTCAGATTAAAGTTAGGATAATATAATTGACATTGCTGGATTCCTTGTAAGACCAGGAATATTTTGAATATAAATGTCATATATTTTGCACAAAAGATAACATAGTTACTCTGAGAAAAAATTTTATCTAAAATTTGTATGTCTAATGCAAAATATATGATGTTTATATTCAAAATGATCATCAAATTATAAGAATTCCAGCAATGTAAATTATATTCAGAACGGGTAATTTGTATGAATTTTATGAGCTAAAACAAATATCTTCAGTTAATAAAAAAAAAAAAATATTCTACACGGGGTAACAGATGGTCGGTCGGTCCCTCCCTCCCCCCCACCCCCCACCAACCGTCCCAAGGAGATGTGTGGGAAAACAGAATACTTAACTTTTTTGTAATAAATAATACCTCAAACTAAAGTTAGGATAATATAATTGACATTGCTGGATTCCTTGTAAGACCAGGAATATTTTGAATATAAATGTCATATAGGCTATTTTGCACAAAAGATAACATAGTTACTCTGAGAAAAATTTTTATCTAAAATTTGTATGTCTAATGCAAAATATATGATGTTTATATTCAAAATGATCACCAAATTATAAGAATTCCAGCAATGTAAATTATATTCTGACCGGGTAATTTGTATGAATTTTATGAGCTAAAACAGGCAGTCAGGCAGGGTGGCTGGTGGGGCAAATCTAAAAATAGCGTCTCGAGCCGGACACTCACCGCATATATGTGGAAAAAATCCGTGTTAAGTGAAAGTTCAGCTCTGGCGAGGCACCGCGTATATGATAAAACGCGTTAAGTGAAACCGCGTTAGGCGGGGTAATACTGTATACTTCACCGCGTATATGAGTAGATGCACCGCGGAAAGTGAAAGTCTGGTTCTGGCAAGGTACCGCGTAAATGAGAAGCGTAAATGAGAAATCGCGGAAAGTGAAACCGTGTAAAGCGGGGTAATACTGTACTGTATGTATGTTGTGTTGTCAATGGTAAGAGAAACAATTGAGACCGTGCAATTGCATGTAAATGAAGCAGAAAGTCAGATTAACAACCTGGCACTTGGTCACAATTTTCGTGATGCCATATGGCAGCACGGTCTACCATTAGACAACACATTATGCTTCCAATATCTTCCCAGGCGGTAGTACCTCCCTGTCTTCACAATATTTATTAACTCAGGGAGTATTAACCCTGTCTTTCCTTACTAGTTAGAGGGTGCTTGAAAGTCCTTCATATAATGCCCACTTCCCACTCTGTTAAAGTGGGTATCCAGCTGTAAAACTTTCTTCAAATTTACCTGATAACAATTGGGACACTGTGCCTTCATGCAATCATAACCCACCCATTCAAACATAGAAAATGGTGATGACAATGATAGATTTAAGATTCCTTTTCACAGGTATTTGGGTAATCCAAATTCTGCTCTCAAGTACTTCAACAAAGCAAGAAAGGATCAAGAATGGGGTCAGCGGGCAATTTACAACATGATAGAAATTTGTCTCAATCCTGACAATGACACCATTGGTGGGGAGACTTTTGAATCAGTGGATAGTGAAGTAAATCAGTCAGGAGCAAGAGACACTCTGGATATGGCCATCAGAACTGCAGACAAATTATTGAAGGTAAGAAGCATTTTCAAGCCCTGAATAAACATTTAACAGTGTAAAAAGAGATGAATTTCTCAATAATGGTCCACAGATATGTACACAACTGAAACACAACTGAAGTCAGTGTATTTATTGTTTACTAGACTATTACCAGTTTCAGTATAGTGACAGATCCAGGGGGGAAGGTTTGGTCAAACCCTCCTTTTCTCCTAAAACTAAGTCATGTTAGATCAAGTGTCAACTCGTACCAAGGCCAACTTGTGCACATTCCTGGCTAGTGGTATAACATATCAATGGGCAGCTTGTCATCAGCATACCAGGATTAGTGAGCTATGTCATTTACAGGCAATTTATCTCCACATTAAACCAAGCTGAGTGCCTGTAGATCTAAGTCATAAGGTGACTGGAGTTACAACTTCACATGACAAGGGTTACTGCCACTGACACAAGATTATAAGGGGGTTGGAAGCTAGGGTAGGTGATGACAGGTGCTGGCTCTGGTGCAAGTTCACCACACAAAGTACCGGGAATTAGACAACAGCAAAATCATGGACAAGTTTTCTAGCAAGCAACCCAGATCTGATCTGAGTTTCTGCCTCATTTACACACAATTGCAGGGTCTCATTTGTTTCTCTTACTATTGACAACACAACATACATACAGTGGTTCCTCGGTTAACGAACACTTCGGTTAACAAACTTTTGGTTAACAAATTACCTTCCATAAGAATCTTCAATTCGGTTAACGAAAAAAAATTTATTAACGAAATCCTTACTAAAATCACATTTTGTTTTGAACATCAGCTGAGGAGGTACTCAGCCAATTCAGTGATCTCTTTTATGTTTACATTCAAATTAATCACTATCTTATAATAATTCCAGCAATACAAATTAAATTCTCCCCGGTCACTTCTATTAAATTTTATAAGCAAAAAACAAAAACTCAATCTAAAGGACATAAATTAACACTTAAATACTTCACACCACAGGCGCCAACTGTCAAATATGTCACTGTCACCCCTCCCTCCCTACCCCACACCTTCCCAAGACATGTTTGGGGAAAAGCACTAGGCTCACAGGTTTAATAATAAATAATATCTCAGACTAAAGTTAGGAGAATATAATTTGCATTGCTGGATTCCTTGCAAGACAGTGAATAATTTGAATATAAACGTCATATATTTTGCACAAAAGAAAAATTTTTTGCTCTCTAATAAAATTCTTAAATTAGATCTAAAATTTGTATGTCTTATGCAAATTATAGCTTGTTTATATTCAAATTAATCACAATCTTATAAGAATTCCAGCAATGTAAATTATCTTCTGGTTTGTTATTTATATACAATTTTATGAGCAACATTAAATAAATAAATCAAATATTTTACCAGACCTTCCCCCTAACTGTCACTCAACTCCCGGCCCCCTCCCCTCCCTCCCTCCCTCCCTCCCTACCTCCTCCTCCTCCTCCTCCCTCCTCCTCCTCCTCCCTCCTCCTCCTCCCACCTTCCCGAGAAATGTTTGGAGAAAAGCACTAGGCTTACAGGTTTAATAATAAATAATACCTCAGACTAAAGTTAGGAGAATATAAGTTACATTGCTGGATTCCTTGCAAGACAGCGAATAATTTGAATATAAACGTCATATATTTTGCACAAAAGATAAAATTTTTGCTAATTTCATCATCTTCTTAAATTACATCTAAAATTTATATGTCTAATGCAAATTTTAGGATGTTTATATTTAAAATGATCACCATCTTGTAAGAATTCCAGCAATGTAAATTATATTCTGGCCTGGTAATTTGTATGAATTTTATGAGCTAAAAACAAATTTCTTCAGTAAATAATGAAATTATACTTCACCCAGACACTATTTGTCAATCAAAATACCCCACCTCCGCTCCCCCCCTCTTCCCAAGCTCGCTGGGTCCCTCCGTTCCTCCCTACCCCTCACCCCCCACCTTCCCTCCCTAAGAGAGAAATGTTTTGGGAAAAACAGTATAAGTCAACCCTCACTTTACGCGGTCCCACATTCCGCGTTTCCACGGTGCCCTGCCAGAACCCAGGATGCTCACATTCCGCGGTGGGTGTCCCCCTTTACGAGGGTGAAGTATAATTTTTTTATTTAGCTCATAAAATTCATACAATTTATCCGGCCAGAATATAATTTACATTGCTGGAATTCTTACAACATGATGAGCATTGTGAATATAAACATCATAGATTTTGCATTAGACATACAAATTTTAGATATAATGTTTACTCTGAGTAAATATGTTATCTTTTGTGCAAAATATATGACATTTATATTCAAAATATTCCTGGTCTTACGAGGAATCCAGCAATGTCAATTATATTATCCTAACTTTAGTCTGATTTATTATTTATTACTAAAAAGGTAAACAGTCTGGTATTCCCACACATTTATCTGGTAGGGAGGGTTGGTGGGGGGTCGGAGGGAGGGAGGGACCGGTGACCGACCACCTGGCACGGTGTGAAGAATATTTTTTTTTTTTTATTAACTGAAAATATTTGTTTTAGCTCATAAAATTCATACAAATTACCCAGCCAGAATATAATTTACATTGCTGGAATTCTTACAATTTGATGATCATTTTGAATATAAACATCATATATTTTGCATTAGAGATACAAATTTTAGATATAATGTTTACTCTGAGTAAATATGTTATGTTTTGTGCAAAATATATGACATTTATATTCAAAATATTCCTGGTTTTACAAGGAATCCAGCAATGTCAATTATATTATCCTAACTTTAATCTGAGGTATTATTTAATACTAAATGTTAAAATCTAGTTTTTTCACCCAACCTTTCTCTTGAAGGGAGGGTTGGGACGGACCGACCATCTGGCGCGGTTGGAAGAGGGGGAGAGGCAAGGTGGGGTACTTTGATTGACAGGTAGTGTCGTGAAGAATATTTTTTTTTATTATTAACTGAAGATATTTGTTTTAGCTCATAAAATTCATACAAATTACCCGGCCAGAATATAATTTACATTGCTGGAATTCTTACAATTTGATGATCATTTTGAATATAAACATCATAGATTTTGCATTAGACATACAAATTTTAGATATAATGTTTACTCTGAGTAAATATGTTATCTTTTGTGAAAAATATATGACATTTATATTCAAAATATTCCTGGTCTTACAAGGAATCCAGCAATGTCGATTATATTATCCTAACTTTAGTTTGAGGTATTATTTATTACTATACCTGGTTTTCCCTCCAAAATTTTTCAGAGAGGGAAGAGCCAGCGAGTGTAGTGTGAGAAGAGGGGGAGGGAGTTGAGTCCATTATTTGAATGGACATTAACTTAGCGACTGTATTTCTCTATTTCTCTTAAGTATTAATTGTGTGCATGTACCATCATAAAATTAAGATGTTATTTTTACTAGAACATAGGTATTGTGTTGGAAAAAGTGGAGTTTGGGAGTCAGCTGGTCTCTATTTCATTTAATCCCATATGTTATGTTATTCACTTTACGCGTTTCTCACTTTCCACGGTACCCTGTGGGTTACATGAACCGCGTAAAGTGAGGGTTGACTGTATTTACATTTTTAGTAATAAATAATACCTCAGACTAAAGTTAGGATAATATAATTGATATTGCTGGATTCTTTGCAGGATAGGGAATATTTTGAATTAAAACATCATATATTTTGCACAAAAGATAAAATTTTTGCTCATTTTCATCATCTTCTTAAATTACATCTAAAATTTGTATGTCTAATGCAAATTTAAGGATGTTTATATTTAAAATGATCACTATCATGTAAGGATTCCAGCAATGTAAATTATATATTTTATGAGCTATAAACATGTATATCTTCAGTAAATATACAAATTATTCTTGTCCTGCATAAATGATGAAATTTACCGCGTAATTAAAACATTTCATTCGCGTGAAATGGTTGCTACCATTTTTCCATTTTCATATTGCATTATTTTCATTTTCATCTCAAAAGTAATTGACTGTCTCTTTTTCTTCTCAGCACCATGAGAACTCTCACTTTTACGCTTGCAAGCCATTTTAAAGGGAATTACAAACGAAAATTTTGTCAATACACAGCGCCATCACTAACAACAACGGCGGCCAAACACCAACTGAGCAGGCTATGGCGTGGATGCTGTACACCAAGAGGCGGCCCAGCCCAAGCTGTCGTACGGCATCACATTACGACAAAACGTCAGTAGAGTACAGTCATTTGTCGGTTAACGTCTGACCGAACAACGTCCGATCGCATATACGTCCGTGCCCCCTCCCCCACCCAAAAAAAAAAAAAAAACCAACGTGATGCCTGCTGGACCACCACTCCACAACCCCCTGACGGAGACACCATGATCCTCCCCATACTGGTCAGATATTATGTGTTAAAGGAATATGCTTCCTTACTTAGGCTTTTTTTAAGCATTTGCCTACAGGTGAAATGTTAACCTACATCTACTGAAGATAAAATCTTTCACCTACAAATTGACAATAACACATTTGCTGTAATCAGACATATCTAGTTGCCTCAACAATTGCAACCCCAGTTGCAATTTCATATTCTGTGGCATTACTAAAAATAGTAAAGTTTCTGGTGCACTCTAAGATTAAGAGAGAAAACGGAGGACTCAGGCGTCCTCATGTGAGAGAAAATGGACTCGTATGACGGGGGACCAAATAAAAAAAGCATAGCTACATGTTTTGTGGATTACAGTATTAAGCGTACCCTTTTCATCACTTTGTAATAAGCCTAGCCATGCCTATGTGTGTTTATGATATTTACCATAACAGTATATATATATTTAGTGGGTCTAAATGGTCGTAAAATGGGAAACTTGGGGTTGGGTCTTGGGTGCCTGAACCAATTAGAATAAATCCCATAGGTTCTGTACTTTCGTTATCAGCGGGGTCCCAATTAGGCGCGATAACCAAGGGATGACTGTACTGTACTGTATATACTTGTGACACTGGCCAGTTGCTTCTGGTGTTATGGTACAGG